GAGAGAGAGAGAGAGAGAGAGAGAGAGAGAGAGATCATAATGACACTGAAGGATCTGTAACATGCTAGTCGGCTTTTCAAATGTTCAAATGTCGCTAGTGTAATTAAAATATATATACATATGTGTTTTATTATAGTATACATGATTCACTTTTCTCAGTGGCAATCCTACCTCCTATCCTTATTTTTCTTTATAAAACAATTCTCATTCAAATAATTTACACTACCTGGAGCAGTAAGACTATGAAATTTGCTAGTTTTATTAAATTCTGCCTAAATATGATAGACTTGACTGGGGTCAAATAAAGTACATGTATGACAATACTGTGTCAACATACTTTTAAAAAATTCAAATAAAAATATGCACCAATTGATCTGGACAGAAGCTTGCATTGGTAACGTCTTGGCCTTGCTTGCAATGTAGGACTGCCTTTCAAGTTTCAAGTGAAATTGTAGCTGCAAGGCTTGTATTCTGAGAATGTTGCCACTTTAACAGGGTGAAACCTGACACATTATTCCTAACATTTCTTCTGCTATGGAAAACAAAATGTGCCTTTTATTACAGTGGAACTCAGTTTCCACGAACTCGGATTCAACGAAAACTCTGACTTAACGAATGGAGTTGGATTCCCCCCGATTATTTTATTAATAAAAATCAATAAAAATAACTCGGATTCAACGAACATATAACTGAGCAAGCTTGGATTCAACAAAGTCGTTTGCAAGGTGAACTGCTCGAAGCGACCAATCAGCGGCCTCCTTTCATACCAACACACCCGTTGTTATAATGCAACAATTTTTAAACATGTATTGGAATCGGACGGGCGGCCAACACATGTTTGATTTGTGACATGTGACAGTGGGTGCGTATGTGTGCGTGTTTCTGGGGGGAGGGGATACAAACGGTCCGGGCGTAGAACGTCAGTAGAGATACAAATGCGACAGAGTTACTTTTAATTCTTTTTTTTTTTTCGTCCAGTTACTGACCAATATTACAATGATAAGCTAATTTTGACATAGATGTATGTAATGAATTGCGCGCTGGACTCTACACAGCAAGATAACTTGTTTGGCAAACAATACATTAGATGAGAGATGACACAGGCATGTATTTGAACAAATCGGCCCTTTTGTACAGTGTGTGCTTGGTAGAGTTCAGTGTATTTTCCAGTAATTCTTTGGTATCAAAGAAACGAAAATGTCTCTCATTTGAAACCAAACTACTGTTGATTGAGAAAGTCGAATACATTATACATTTCTTGCTCAGTGCCTGCAATTATCGACACAAAAATCTCATATTTTCCATACAATAACAAACACTTGGATTCAACAAAGTTGAAGGCCAGGCCCGACGACTTGTTTGAATCCGAGTTCCACTGTATCTCATGAGGAGATTCGTTAAAGTCTACAAAATCACCCTTACTGCTTGCCCATAGTTAAGCTTTCTTTACAAAAGAACACTATCATAATTATGCCAGACAATAGAAGGTGTTGTGTTTGCACATAAAAAAAACATATCTATTCATTAGCAACAAATTTACAAGAAACTGATGCTCATGTACAGATCTGCAGTAAGCAAAACAGACACTACAGCTTGTTCACTTTCATCTGACAGCCGTTAAAACAAGATAAAATGAAATTGCACTGTTTAATCTTCTCGGAACTTTGCATACGGGTCTCAAAATTGGATGACCAACAGAATCTAAGAGCCCACTAATAAAAGACACTGGAAACAAAGGTTCTGACACGTTTTCTTTGATGTAAACCTAAAGCAGGTCAAAAAAATAATAGGGGATTTACAGCATACACCTAAAACATTTAAAAGTTGACATATTTTCCTCAACATCACTCTTTAATGTTCACTTAAGAAACACGGTTCAAAAGACTGGGTGAGTAATTTTCAAGACTCACGTGGAGCACGTGGAGGTGTCTAGACAGCTGGGAGATAAAATCTACAAGCTTACACTGAAATGTGTGGGCAGGGCGGTTTCGCCATCTCAAAATGAGCAATTTATTGTAAACAAGGCTACTGTAAGACATTTATTTTAGTGACCTTGTGTATGCATCCAAAGAGCGGTTTTTAAAATAGGGCCCAAAGAGAAAAAAAAAATTATTACTGGGTCAAGATTTTTAAAAAATAATTTTTGTTTGGTTGCTGGCCTGTAGAAGTACCATGCAAAGTTTTGTGGGCAAAGGTAAATTCCTCAATCTGTCCTCGTGGTTTTATGCACCCCGCATAATTTAGCCAAATTTGATCTTTTTTTTTTTTGGTACAATTTCAGATTATTTTCCTTTATTAACAGGATCACATAATTTCACATTTTTGGGCTTAGTTTGCATAATTTCTTTTTTTTTTTGTGTGCATAAAACCGCCGGGACAGCACAATGAGCTAGAATTTTTTAATGCGGTCAGACGAAAGTAAACAAGCTATAACAAAAAAAAATTAAAGCACAAAGGATAAGGGAAATAAAATCTTTCCTAAAAATAGTTAAATGAATTATATGTATAATATATATATTACCGCCCATGATGAATTCCTTGTGCAGATCTTCGAAGGCAGTTGTTTCACTCTTAAGTAGTAGTCTCGTTCCTCCCCGCTTTGGGTTTTGAATACACCTTCTTTTTTGGCAGGTACTTTGGCTGTCATTACAAAACTCATACCCCTTGAAAATAGAAAAGAAACAAAATAACTTTTTAGTTTTAGTAAGAGTTTTACAGCACTTGCACAAAGCGCAAAACTGCACGTAGTACATTCAAATGTGAAAATTGCCACTTCAAATATATGAATAAATGCAGAAACAAATCGATGGCTTAGAGCAAGAAGTGACAATATCCACTTTTGGCTGAAATAGAGTAATCGACATGGGTAGTGAAATTTTAAGACGCTTTTTTAACTTAATTTAGTATAGAGATATTAAAGTTTATCTTTTCACTATGTTATAGAGATTTCAATATCATCAAAATTTCAAACTCATTTTTCTCGAAACTGTAAAAAGTGGATATAGTCACTTCTTGCTCTCAGCCGTCGAAATATGAATTTGCAAGTACAAAATATCAAGGCAGTGTAAAGGATAATTCAAAACAACAACTCCTTGACTCCTCCTCCTTTTCCTCCAGCAGAGACATTGACTTAAATTAATTATAGCTAATGAATTAACGGAAAGAAAATATTTACGGTATTAACAAAAGGCTACTTATAGCTTTGCTGTAGCAAAATAGCAGTAAAACAAACACTGTCTTCCTACACACACACACAAACACCCACACACATGAAATGTAGGAAAACTTGACATTGCATGAATTATAATTATATGTATGTCTTGTCTCCCAAAGCCAGCAAATAAAAATATGCCCCTAAAAAAAGCAAAATTTACATCTTTTGGAGCAGGGACCACTTCCACCCCTGGTTGAGGGATTTGGCTGGTTTAAGTTTGCCATCCTTTCTTCGCAGTGCTGATTCAGAAGCTAGTGGCCAGCTTCGGTCAGTGTTTCTTTCATTTGTGCGTTCCATGAAAAAATGCATTTCCACAGATATTGAGAAATGGGGACTACGATGGAACAAATTGGAGACCAAAATTTTGAAGGACATAGCAGATTGGCTGTCTCGCCTGTGACAAAAAAGGCACCCACCGCGGGATTAGGTCTGCATACTGTCTGTGAGAATGCAATGGGGAGATCACGTGTCATTCCTCCTTCAGATTTTTCAAGGTAAATGAAGCCACAAACACTGTTCAGTGAATGTCACTGTAAAATGTGTTGTAAGTCGATCGTGGACGATTCACACTGCTTTAGTCCCTCGGCGAGATTGTCTACGAGTTCGTTTCATCTACAGGTTTATGCCTGTTTTATCAATGTGTATGAATTCGCCGACTTTATATGTACATGCATATAATATATA